TAAGGAGATCGATTTCCCTAAGGAAGTTATATCAGTAACATACTTAGCTAGAAAACCTCGTGCCAGAGAAAGGGTAAGCACTTTAGCTATCAAATCCTGTCGTTGCTTGTCATCGGTGCATTCCCATAGCTGTTCTGTGGTTTCTCGAATTTCCCCAGATTCAGCGTATGCAGCCGCAGCTTTCGAGTGCAGCCCTCCGGTATGTTGAGCAGAGACACGCGCAACCAGTGCTAGATATACTTTATTGTTAGCTTTTTTCAAAGTTTAAAATATATTGAAGTATATTAGTAGTACCTTTGTACATGCCATAACATTTATCATAATACGTTACAATCTGGTGTATAACCAACTGTGTGAAAGCCTGATCATGAGGAATTCTGTTGAGCATTTTGCAAAACGTTTTGACAAGTTCCATGAACGCAATTGTTCCCTGAAAAAAGGTCAGATCTAGCTCAACAGATGAATAGATCAGGGTATTACTTTAAAAATGGGCCGTCGTGAAACCCTTGTCCACTGCGGATCCTCGGTAAATGCATCTGGTGCAATAAAAGTCATCGCGCAGAGGTCTGTTACAGCTTCATCCAGCTGTGGCTGGAAAACATTGATCAGGAAGTCATCGAGGAAGGAGGTAAGGGTGCTCATGACGATATCCGAAGTGAGAGGGACAATGTCTTTCAATCGTTGAATGAAAGAGAGGGATGGAGGAAGAAGTAGACTCATATTAAAAACGCTGGGTTCGATCAGGAGCTTGTGTCCGGTCCCAGAATTTTCTTGCCTTGATCTGGATGAGTCGGTGGTAGATGTTTTTTGGCGGGATTTCGACACAAGGCCGGGCACTGATGATCTCAGGATCTCCTCTAGCTCGTTCTGTTCAGCTTTCATATCCGATGATTTCTCATCTACTTCGGAGAGTTTGAACAATTTCTGTATTATTTACTTGTTAGCATCTCCAAAGGAACATATAATTATCAAGCTACACACCTTCGTTCTATCTCTTTTGTTAGATGTCTGTGTGTATTTATCATCAGAGATATTAGATTGAGCCCGATAGCTGACTTCTCCATCTGTAGCTAGGTAATCGTGCAAAAGGGACCGAATCTGGAAATTGAAAGTTAAAATACATCTCACTTCAATAGGGAATTGGGAAAAAAACGAAATTAACCCACCTCGCTTTGGTACAGTTTCCACAGCTCCTTGAAACCACTTGTGAGCGACCCAGACTTCCGAATGTTTTCTCGCTCCACAATTCCCGCAACGACATCATGTACGATGCGGTGGCCTTCAGCAATAGCCTCGAATTTCGCATAGAGATTCCACATAAATTCTGACAGAACATATCCCCTGTCTCCACCCAGTTCGTTAGGCATGCAACGAACCGTGCTGTCTCGTGGCTGTTGACTTCGTCTATGTTCAGGATAGCGGGCTGCGACTTCGGAGCCTGTTTTATCGACAATAGCGAAAAGCTCAACCGGAAGCCGTTGTTCGATCCGATCGACAGCAAGTTCAAGATTGCCCATTTTGTTTAACGCCTCGATGACCACGCGTATATAATGGAAAGTATCAGTCTCCGGATTACGCGAGGCATCTTCCGCGATGGGTGTTTTCATATCCAGGTTGGCTAGAAAGTGGTAAACTGGCCTATCCCAATGTGTCACATTACTTAGACCTGGTGGTTTTGGTCCATCTTTGGCTTCGCCACCGGTTGTCAGCTTCCAGCGGTCCTGGCAATACGGAGACTTAAGATACAAATGATCGTGTAGCTCCTCGATCAGGATATCTGTCAACGATAGTTCCTGGTTGCTGAAATATGTTCGCAGATCTCGAAGACCTCCGATTCCGTCAAACTCCGGCTTATTCACAAGCCGCAGCGCATCTTTGAGGATTTCTACCGCAGCAATAAATCTCTTTTCCGATACACGTGCTTCTAGCTTTTCCGGTAGTGATTGGATATTTTCGATCTGGCTGAATAATTGTAGTATATCATCGTAATTCTGAGAAGCCGTCGCAAGTCCTTTCAACTCTGGCTTCGTTGTAAGTAACCCCGCTTTCGCTTCAGCCAGAGTCCCCTTCAGTATTCGGAGGCGGTTTTGGGAACTTTGGATACTTGACTGGATAGTATGATATGTTCCAATAGAACTATTGAAGCCCTGGTGATGTTCTAAAACAGAATATTTTTAGTAATCGAACGGGTACAGCATGTTTGGGGCGCCGGCATAAGATCCAACAAACCATTGACAATCGATTTCAAAGATTTTTGTATTTGCTTATATGTGCGTATGAAATCGGGCTCTCGATCCGCCTTGCCCAGAGTACTTGAGTCCATCAACTGCAAGCCAACTTGAACGGGTATGCAGTCATCGGCGGCCATAAACTCCCAATCCTGTTGTATCATTCGGAGGACATCTATTATACAAAAGCTCAAGTCAGCTCATGAGCAGCGTTAACGGGATTCACAAGCTCTGGAAAACGACTTGTGAACACCACCCGCGTCCCTTCAGGAGTATAACGAAACATACCGTCGATCGGTTGCGGTCCACTCCTTTCCAGAGGTAGCATCGGACCGATTCCTATCCTGACTCTTCCCACGATCACCGTATCTCGTTTCGTCTCTACCACCACCAACACTCCCCACGGGTTCCCGTTTTCAGTATCATACCGCCGCGGGCGGGAAGAGGGGCGGAATTTGCTGTTCGGAGCTCTGGAAAGAGGCTGATGAA